ATGGTTCAGAAAATGTCCACTATATTACAGCTTTCTATCTAAATTTTCCCCTCCCCCCACTCTCCACCTCAATGGTTCCTCATAAAAATTTCCTGACTCCGCCCCTGGACAGCGACATCTGATCCCCCTTGGCGACTACAAAAATTGGTTGGTGGTCAATTGCAGGAGCCTACTTTCTTATCTTCCTCGGTTCGATTTGTACCCAAAAATGCTAATGTTGCTGCCCATACAGTGGCACGTCATGGACTTATTCTACGTTGAACACATACTTGGTCCATGACTTCATTCTTAGCACAATTGTTGTAATTCTGAACCGAGTCTTGGAATGCAATTAGCCCTTGGGCTTCTCAAAAAAAAAAAAAAAAAAAAAAAATCTTTCATTTTATTTCTCAGTTCTCACAAATAAAGCCAAATCTGAAGCAAAAGTAAACCAGAATTCACACTCAGCCTTTTTGCACTACCATGCACTTACACCAGTGCAAATGAAAAAATATATATTCTCCTTGCCTTCTTAGGGTATAGATTTTATAGCTAATGTTGTACGGTTGTACTAACTAGCAAAGGAAATTTTGCCTCGATAGAAATGCAGACACGGAAACAAAAGCTACAAGAGATGAATAAATACTCTTCTGCACTTACTGCACATATAAATTACAAGGAATGAACACATTAGGAAACCACTGAAGCTATTGCAAAAAGGGGGAGGGGGTTCAACTACAATGATAGTATTTGTAAGTCAGAAGACCGATCAGACCCAACACTTTCAGGATGCGTCCTGTCATCATGAAGAATGAGGACCTTTAATGTGCCAGATTCCCTTAACCAGGCAGCTACAACAGCCCCCGGTGATATAAAGCGGCCAAGGTTGCACTTGGCGACATGGAAGGGGGCACCAATTCCAGCAAGCAGTGCCTCAACAGCCCGCCTTAGAGTGCCATCACCAGCTACTTTGCTGTGTTTACCCCATCCTGTCAAAATGCTGTAGAGAAACATGTTGAATGTAAAAAAACATCTAAAAGTAAAAATAAACAAGTCAATGAAAGCATATGTATCATCTTATCAAGGTTGTCCTCGGACAAGTTGCGACTACAATACATACCTCAGTAATTTTGGCAATTCACGCCCTTCGTAAACAATAGAGCGTATATTGAGCAACCAGGCATGTACCATAGCCTGAGCAGCCCCTGAAGACATCAAATGCAAATCCAAGCATGAATCACACCATGCATTCTCCCATACATGTCGACGTTTACCTTCAAGTACAACTAACTGAGCCCCTCGTTTCTGCATAAAAATAAGATGGGCGACTTCAGAACTTACCAGCAATACAACCCTAAGATGGCACATCTTATACAAGACAAGCGTGTCCCAGTAATACAGTAAGTATCTACACGTTTCACAGCCTCTGAAATCAATGTCCTAAACCCCCCTTGAGAGACAGCTTTGGACAAAAGATGCACAGTTTTGCCTAATGACAATATTAACCAAGACAGCAGGGCACAACAATGTTTTAAAAGCTGGGTCTAACCGGGTAATTGAATCACAAAATTAACAATCCATCTGAAACCAGTTGACAGTTAATAAGGTATGCAACTTGGGCAGACTATCAGCCTGCAACCAATGCAGTGGAAATTCTTCAAATTGGGTATGGAATTTGCACCCTCATAGTGGATCAGACATTCTGCTTTGGCATTCGGACTGCAGTTCATTGTACAGTGCAATTTTTTAATACAGGCACAATGTTGTTGTTTCGATCAGTAACTACTACTTTTCTTTTTTTTTGGAGAAAAGGTAAGTACATTATATAAATCAAAAGTATATGGTCTCTGTAAAATGAGTTTCTGTACAAATGTAAGCCATGTGAGGATCTCAAAAAAGCCCACCTTCAAAACAGAAATAGAAAAGGTAGATTATGAACAGCCAACCAATCCTTTTCAACCACCAAATTAAGCACCTCCACTTAAATTGTAGATGTTTGATCATAAATTCTATTATTTCTCTCATACCATATAGACCACATGATTGCCAGTGGGATAGATGACCAGCACACTTTCCCTTTTTCAGTCATTCCAGAACCTGCCACTCTTCTAGAAGTGCTTTTACAGTACCTGGGAAGCACCAGATTAGACTAACTGCCTTCAAAATATGATTCCACACTGCTATACTGAAGTTGCAAAGCAAAAATAGGTGGTTTGAGGCCTCTGCTTCCTAATTACATACGGAGCACCTCAAATCTGAAATGTTGAAACCCCTATTTACAAATAGCATTTGAGAACCCTACCCTTTCCTTCAAAACAAACATAGCCTTAGTGAAAAGTTTGGATATTCCTTTCCACACACCACATCCATACAGCATTTGAGGCCTCTCTGCATCCCAAATTCCCAACCATTGCACCTTTCCCTGTATTTCTCTGCAATTCCTCTCAATAAGTTGCCGGGTTTCCCTTGAGAACCTCCAGAACCACTTGCCTAACAAGGCAACATTGAAGTTTTAAACCTGTCTGATTCCTAGACCCCCATGAGAAATAGGCCTGCAAACTTGTTCCCAATTCACCAGATAGAATTTGAACAATTCCCACTAGCCAAGCCACAAGAAATCCCTCATCTTTTTTCTTTTCTGCCACTTCTGAGAGAATTTGGTAAAAGACATGCAACAAGCAAGAAGGCTTGCCAAAACACTTTTGGTGAGTGCAACCTTCCCCCCTTTTTTAGAGGTACTCAGCTTTCCAAGTAGCCATCTTCGTGCCCACTCTCTAAGATCGGATCCCAAATAGCCATCAATGTACATTTAGCCCCAAGGGGCAACTCCAAATACTTTGAAGGGAAGCTGCCAACTATGCACCCTAGTAATTCAGCAAGTTCATGAACATCAGTGATTTCCCCAACTGCTAACATTTCTGTCTTTATACTTGTGTTGAGGTTGCTGATCTGTAATATTATATTAGAACTAGTGTCACTTACTTAAGTAAGGGCACATGTGTCTTTTCCATTATGTTAGTAATATAAAACATGTCTGGCTGAATGGGAGAGGTAATTTTTCTCTCATTCGAACCAGACTTTTCTTCTCTCCTTTTCTCCTCTTTTCTCTCTCTTTCTTTCTTCTTTCTTCTTCTCTCTTCTTGGCTGTTATCAGACTAACAGAACACAAGGGCAGGCCGAATCATAATATGGTATCAGAGAACAACTAAGCAACTCGGATCTGCCCAGATTTCTGTTTTCTGCGCACTCAGTCTAGGGTTTTCTCTTGATTTCTCTGCCATCAATTGGAGATAAGGGAAAG